TAACCGGCTGTTAGCGATAATGTTAAGTACTGTGCTGTTACGACGGTTGATTGAATGGTAAAAATAGAAGGTTTGCGCGGTATTTGAATTTAAAATAATTCCACCTGAATTCTTTTTTTAAATACTGTAGTAAGTGATTTTATGTGATTAGTGAAAATAGATGAAACCATAATTAAGCAGAATCCAATTAGATTGGAGTCCCCTACCCAATGGAACCATATCTATATGATGTGAGGATTGCTTGCAAAATTGAGACTTCTTTATATTCTTTAAGAACATCCATGGTCTAGGCCTTTACTCTCAACTCCTAAATAAAAATTCGATCATATTACTTGGACAAATTATATTTAAATTGAAACTAAAAACAGTAAAATATATAGAAAATAATCGTTTGACTCTTAATCTGTTTATAAACTTTGTAACTGAATTGTTGTTGTGAAAAAGGTGAGCTAACTTAAACCTGTTGTGTGTTGCGCTGAGCGACAGCCACAAAAAAAAACCTGCTGGGCAGCATTTGTGGTCGCTCCTAAATTGATTGATGTTGGTTACTTTTGCTGTTGTGGACTTAAAGCTATTAGTTTTTGTAGATTTTTTCTTCCTGCGCACCTGGGACACGGCTGACAGCCCACGCCCATGCATGCACGCCTGCTGGCCGAACTGTTTAGATAAGATATAATCGATTTTCGTATTGCCATCACGGTTTTAACAGTTTGACCATGGATATCCGCTTGCCAGGGTCTCTCTTATGATATAATGCAGCTACTCTTCTCCTGGGGATTTCCATTCTCGTTCTCAATTAAAATCAGTAGCTGATGAAATATGTCTCCAACAGACTGTGAAAGAAAGAGTGAGATGAAAATTGAGAATGTATTTGATTAGCAAACACGATTACTTACCTCATTTTGTTTGGCAGATGTTTCAAGAAATGCTGCTCGCCAGGATTCAGCCAGTTTCTTGCCCTCCTCTGTGGTTACAGTTCGCTCTTGATGCAAATCGGTTTTATTGCCTACTAACACTACAGGTACACTGCAATATAAAATAGTTATTAAGGAATTGCCATCGGAGAGGCGCATATTTGCGTACTATTTTTTGCCCATCACATCTAAAAGTTTTTCGTATATAATTTTGATAACCTCAAAGGACTTTTGACTCGTTATTGAATAGACCAGGACATAGCCATGGAAATCCATGCTGTATTGCACCGGGAATATGCTGTATTCGTCCTGGCCAGCGGTATCGATCAGCTTCATATCGTACTCCTGCGAGTTGACCTTGGTCTCCTTGGTGAATGCTAAATGAAATTAATAAAAATTTACGTTTTAAAAAGTTGAATTCTCTCATTCGCAATGATGCATGCTGCCATCGCATGGTGCTCCTCCCAAACGTCATCGCACTCCTGAAAGGGGGGAACAGCTGCTGCCTGCGCACGCACTTACTATTCTCAATCGTTGGGTCATACGAGTCCACGAATTGGCCTTCAACAAACTGTATGCTGAGCGATGATTTGCCTGCAGGTGAAACGTAAATTATTACTGGGAATTTTTCGCCAGTTCGTCAGAGTTGTTGCTTTTGCTGTGTGCTGTTCGACTGAAATACTACGCAATTACAGAGCCAAGCAACAACAACAGTCATCGAAACGCTGGAGGGGGAACTGGAGTTCAACCAAACACTCACCCACGGATCGGTAGCCCATTATGGCTATATTGCGTTCTTTTGGTGGCATCTTATGCGTATGTAAAACACGCAATTATGTTTAGACTTGTAGCTTTAGTTTTAGGGGCTTTTTTTTGCCACTTTTCTTTTATTGTTGTCGCTCCGTTCGACTCTCTGTGTGTGGTTTGGGTGACTTTCTGCGGGCGTGAGTGGAGGCAGCCTAATGGGCTATTACTTTACGAAATGATGTTTGCTCAAGATACTTGTTGCTATCACAGCTTGTAGCTTTTTTAATGGTATTTAATTCAATTATTATTATTTCCACAGAATAGAGGTGTCAAACCATCGAGGGCACTATCGATAGTATCGATATTTTACTGCTAGTCTCTACTATCGACGGTTGTGCGACTATCATGATATTATCGAGCTACAGTCGTTGCGCTTTTGATATGTTTGGATTGGCTGCTATAAAATACGAAGACACATTTGTAAACAAATCGACAGGTGGCATCTAATTTTTACAATGGACAAGTTCCTAAAAGGTTTCAATGGTTTTTTAATAATTATTAGAGCTATCACGATAGTATCGATTGTTTTTTCAAAACATTCGATGTTGATATTCCTCGATATTGATATTCCGTTTAATATTACCAGCTAGCTGGGACTCTCAGCCCTAAACAAATAATTTTATCCGATAGATACATACATTTTTTAAGAGATTGGCAAGTTTTCAGAAGTCCTTTTTATTGGATTATTTACATATTAAGGTTCAAACAAAAACAGCATAAAACGAATTTGTCGTCGTTTTGTGGCGCTGCCAGACTCGTGCATTCGTAGTTGACTTGCGGGCTGCCATACCGTGATATTTTGTGATATGAAATTCGTCAATTTTGATATTCAGTTTAATATTACTAGATAGTTGGCCCTCTCAGCCGTAAACAAATAATTTTATCCGATAGATACATAAATTTCCTTCAGGATTGGTTAGTTTTTAGAACTCTTTTTCGTTGGATTGTTTACATATTAAGGTTCAAACAAAACCAGCCAAAGCATAAAACGTAAATGTTGACTAAATGTTACGTCAGTGTTGCTGGTCAACCAAGTATCTTCTATGCGTATGTACTTCTGTATACCTTATTTCTTTCAATGGGTGTGAAAAGTTTTGCTCCAAGCTCCAGTGAAGGATTATTTATGATTTTATCCTAGATTGACATGTTTTTTACCTCTTAATGTATATGTTTTGTGTTTTATAAATACATTTATCCCGGTTCTGATACCTATTATTGGAACCCGTGAGCTGCCAAATTTCGTTAATATCTTGAAAACAGAGACTGAGTAGTTTCTGCATTAATTGGAGCCTGAAATTACAAACAATACCTCAAGTCCATAATATCCATTTTCCCAAGGTATGCAGATTGTTGCTCATTCCGTGCCAAAGTTGCACAACAATGCTGCTAATTCATTTCCCCATGTTGCTGAAATTTTTCCCATACAAATTCAAATGTATCATACGAGAACGCGTATGGAATGACGCAACAATGAATCTTCATTCCATACGCGTTCCCGTAAGATACATTTGATTTTGTATGGGAAAAATTTCAGCAACATGCTGCCACACCACGAAAATGAGAGGAAAGTCTCCACAAAAACACTCTATTCTCCACTGAAAAGAGCACTCTCCACGAATTGAGAGCAAATTTTGCAAACTCTCCACGAATTGAGAGCGAAAAATGTCAGTATTTTTGGTGCGCTAAATTGAGTTTGGAGGTCAATTTGAAATGTGTCTTAATATTTGGAAAAATAGATATTTTACTTGATTTGTTTTTTCGAGTGACCTCAGAAACCAAGAACCAGTAACCAGTAAATAACAAAAAAAAAAATTAATAATTTTTTTAGCCCGATACTATCATGATAGTTCGATTGTTTTTTTCAAAACATTCAAAGCTATCGATGGCTCAACTATCAATCGTTTGACAGCTCTACCACAGAATCTACGATGCAGCCAGTGTGTCCGATGATTTTTCGACAAAATATACCGCCTTGAATCTCAGAAATATACCATATTTTCTAAATATACCGATGTAAATATACCATATTTTCTAAATATACCGATGTAAATACCCACCTAACATTAGCGGTATTTTTATGCGATAAATAGCATATTAGAGACGAGAAGAGGGCGATATGTTCGCTATCGCGCTTTACACATCTCTAGGCATCAGCTGTTGAAAGGCAGCATTTTTTGTGAAAATTTGTTTGATTTTGAGAGTTTTAAGCATTCTGGCATAAATAAATGGGTACAAAACGTCGTAATATCGAGGACGAGCTGTCTCGCTTCGAGGCTGAGATCTCCAAGCCGCCCGCGCGGAACCTCTTTGTGCCCAACCAAGTCCGACCGATCATCGCCGCGAATACGTACAACAATGTACAGCAGAAGCTGCAGCAGCATCCGGGGGCGCGCTTGTCAGTGCCGCCGCCTCCAATTCCACCACCACCCTCGTTCATGTCGACCTTTGTGCCGACAGGCAACAATTCTTCATCAACATCGCCCGCCAAATCGATGGCCGCCACTCCCGTGGTGTTAAGCAGTGCCCCAAAGTTGTACCAGTGCCGACAGTCGGTGCATGTGCCCACTGTGGCTGCGGCACCGTCATCCATCGACATAAATGCCGTGCAATTCGACGTCACGCAGAAGCTGAAAAAGCTAAAGGCAGAGAAGTCCGGACCCAATCCCATAGCCGAGGAAGCCATCAAAGCAGCGCGCGCCTCGTCCGCTCTGCAATCTTTCCAGACCACAGAGCGCAAGAAGAAGGATCGCAAGACTGTGCGGATTGCCGGTGGCACTGTGTGGGAGGACTCCTCTTTGGCCGACTGGCCCGACGATGATTTCCGCATATTCTGCGGTGATCTGGGCAACGATGTCAACGACGAGGTCCTCACACGTACCTTCAACAAGTTCCCGTCGTTCCAGAGGGCACGCGTGATTCGTGACAAGCGGACCGGCAAGAGCAAAGGATTCGGCTTTGTCAGCTTTCGTGAGCCTGCGGATTTCATACGCGCCATGAAGGAAATGGACGGACGGTATGTCGGCAGTCGCCCGATCAAGCTACGAAAGAGCACCTGGAGGCAGCGCAGCCTGGACGTGGTCAAGAAGAAGGAGCGCGAAAAGCAGGTGCTACTGCAGGCCTTCAATTCGATGAATTGAGAGTGAAGAGGAGGAGGTGTCTGTCTGACGCACAGAGAGTTAATAGACAGTCCTTTAGGCTAGTTTCGGTCACTTTGATGTAGCAAATTTGAATCAATTGTTTGGATGTTTTGCTGCAGAAAATGAGCATTAAAATTTACTTTTAGCAAATGACGTGATTTGTTTTTTATTTATTTAAATATGACTACACCTACCCATTAAGAGGTAAACAACCCTCCCTCCCATGCACAGCACAGCTGCGTGTCTGTCTATTTCAGGATTAACAATTATGTGTACAATAATTACAGGCTTACGGGAATACAGCTTCAGTGTTGATGGCTTGATAAACATAATTTAAAAGAGCTTAGGGGAAGAGCAATAATTGAACTACATAATACGTAAAGCTTTGCAATTCTAAGTAGATTTAGTACCATTTGGCTTGTTCCTTGCCACCGAGCAGTGGCCTGCGTAGCATATCCCCGCCAGCCCCATTATCATCTGCGTTTCTCTGCGTATCATATTTATTTCCCTGTGTCCTGGGCCAACGGATCGACGGCTTGCCTGCCTGGGGCCCAAAAATGGATGGATAATATTGTCTATAGCTGATATAGCCCGTGAGGAGGCCAATGATGCCACCCACAGTCACATCCTGCCAGTGGTGGTGGTAGTCGCAGGTGCGACTAACCGCCACCAGAGTGGCGACGATCAGCGGAATGACAGCAATGCACAGGCGCCAGGTGTGGCCGCGTCCTCGGGCATCAAAAGCATGCAGCTTCGCACCCACATAGTAGGCAATCAATCCAAAGCTGGCAAAGGCAACTAAAAGAGTCCGAACGGACGGGAGTTAGTTAACAGTTCAAGACTAACTAAAGGAGGCCATAGGCCAAACACCTACAGGATGAATGTCCGCTGGGAAAGGATTTACGTCCTTCGTTTATGTCGCTCGCAATCCCAGTGCAATTGAAATCCAAAATGGAACTGCCATCCGAGATGCTCGACGAGTTCAACACCATTACGCCGTCGGGAAAACAACGATAGAAAAAGTCTGGCCTGGGTCGGCCGACTGTGATTTTCAGCAAACTAGTGGGAAGGCCGTTCATGCACAGGGCCAGGGTCCAGGCCCAGCTGGCGGCTCGAAAGTCTCGCCTATCCTTCGTAATCACATAAAAGACAACGGTCACAATCAGCGGAGCCACAATCACCCAGAAGAGCAGCTCCCCGCCCTTGACGATATCCGGACGCCTCGGATTCTTGTACAGCCATAGCTCCTCAGCGTGTATTTCCCGCTTGAACGCCCACATAGTCTCCAGTTTGCTGCAATAATGACTCACATTAATCAGAATTCTAATATAACCCTTATCATATCAACAAAAACTCACAAAAATAAAGCGACGAGGACAATCCGAAGAACTACGTCAACCATATCACCAAATCTCTCATTTCGGTGTCGTAAACTAGAGTGTTGCACCTGCTGCTGTTGCTGCTTCTCAGGCTGTGCAGAGGAACTTTCGGCGCTAATCTTTAGCTCATTGCGCCACATTCCGTTGCCGTTTGATGCGTTGATTCCTTCACGTCCAGGGTCTTCCGAGGAGCTTTCGCTAACTGTGCGTCGACTGGACATCAAGTCCTGACCTTCCTTTCCGGATGTCATCATGGTCTGCTGGGTATTGTCAATGTGCTGGTTATTAATGTTCGCTTCGCTTGTTTCCTGAATAATTGAAGAGATAAGAAAAAAGCTGAATCATAAGAAGTTGCTTTTCGGCAGTTGATACCGTCTGATAGCCAGATAGACGTTCTTATCACACAATAAACAAAAGCCTTATAAGCCATGTACAAATTTCAGTTGTACTTCTACTAATCCCAAAAGAGTATTCCCTTGGCGGCTTGACCAAAATCCCCATCATATTGTCGTCACATAAGTGTGAATATTTCCGATGCTTGCGATAAGATACACACTTGTCCGTCAATGGCCACGCTTTTCCCCAATATTTGCCATCCACCGTGCTTACGTATTCGTACAGTACAAGTATATTCGGATAGACAGATAATTGCCCCCATGTAAACACTTTAATAAAGGTAGTCTCAAAATAGTTTTTGCTGGCTGGCTGGCTGGCTGGCGCACCTCGTCGATAATCCGCGTAGTCCGGCTTCCGATATCGTCACTGCTTTTGATTGACTTTTCGCGGTTGCGGCTTCGCAAGCTTGCGGTCAGGCTATCTGCCATAATCGGCTGTTCTCTGGATTTACTGTGGAACTGAACTGTTTGCACGGTCAAAATGGTGGTGTAACCGTTTGGCATCCACTTGTTGCTGCTGGCACGAGCTTTGGGGCTTTAGGGGATTCTTCCAACTGGCGGCTGAATGCTAATTACCAGCGTTTTTATAAACTTTCTCTAATCTGGCAACAGCATTGTAAAATAAACATTATCCCTCTCTCGGTCGCTCTGCTGGCCAACATGCGACCCGCGTACCGCTGACATCAACGCTCCCAACGAGTGCATATTAAACAGAGGGTAAGGCGGTACAATACAAGCCTAGGTTGTTTGTTAATTCTTTTCGTATGCTTGCATGTTGAAGTTTTCATTTAATAACCTTTTCCCAAATAGAGGAGGACGCCTTGCCTTCTCTTGGATATACCATGACAACAGCAGTTAATGGGGGGTCGACGCGACAGCTGTTTTGTTTGCCTTTCCGGTTACATTATTTGAGCGCAACTGCTGCCACTATAGTGGGCTTTAGTAGTTTTACCTGTTAATTGATCATGCTCGAGACAAATACACAGAATTACATTTTTAAACCTGCCACGCGAAAAAATTGCAAATTGAGCGAAAATGTAAATCGATAGGTTATTTGTTTTGGTATTTTTTCTAATCGTTCTAGTCGGGCTGCCAACTTGGTCCAGTGTGATCAATGTTTTGATACCCTGGAAAATTTTCCGCAGAGGTTTTTCTTCTTACTTTTTGCGGAAAATGTTTCTTTTTCTTTCTATTTGTGGAAAATTTATCTTCTTATTCTTTTTTGTCTACTTTTTTTGTTAGGGCTGCCAGATCGGTTCAAGGCGAATCGGTAATGAAACGGGTAGAAAAATATCATGGTGGCAGCCCGAAACTACGAATTGCACGAGTCTGGCAGCGCCACAATACATCACATTCGTTTTATGTTGTTTTTGTTTGAACCTTAATATGTAAATAATGAAATAAAACGGACTTCTGAAAACTTGACAATCTTGTAGAAAATGTATGTATATATCGGATTTAATTATTTGTTTACGGCTGAGAGTCTCAGCTAACTAGTATTATTAAACCGAATATAAAAATCGAGGAATATCAACTTTTGAAAAAAACAATCGATACTATCGTAAAAATATCGGGCAGCGCACAAAAAATACTGACATTTTTCGCTCTCAATTCGTGGTGGGTCTTCAAAATTTGCTCTCTTTTTTGAGGTGAAGAGAGCGTTTTCGTGGTGACTTTTCGTGGTGTGAGAAACATGTTCTTAACGGGAACGCGTTTGGAATGACGCAACAATGAATCTTCATTCCATACGCGTTCCCGTAAGATACATTTGATTTGTATGGGAAAAAATTCAGCAACATGTGGAAATGAAGAGGCAGCATTGTTGTGCAACTTTGGCACGGAATGAATCTGAATACCTTGGGAAAATGGATATTATGGACTTGAGATATTGTTTGCAATTTCGGGCTTCAGTGAATGCAGAAACTACTCAGTCTCTGTTTTCAAGATATTAACGAAATTTGGCAGCTGACGGGTACCAATAAAAGGTATCAGAACCGGTATAAATGTATATATATAACACAAACATATGCATTAAGAGGTAGAAAACATGTCAATCTAGGATCAAATCATAAATAATGTTTCAATGGAGCTTGAACAAAACATTTAACATCAATTAAAAGAAATAAGGTATACAAAAACCCATACGCATAGAAGAAACTTGGTTGACCAGCAACAGTGACGTCACATTTAGTCAACATTTACGTTTTATCCTTTGGCCGTTTTTGTTTGAACCTTAATATGTAAACAATCCAATGAAAAAGAGTTCTAAAAACTAGCCAACCCTGAATAAAATTTATGTATCTTTCGGATAAAATTATTTGTGTACGGCTGAGAGTCTCAGCTAACTAGTAATATTATACCGAATATCAAAATCGAGGAATATAAACTTTGAATGTTTTGAAAAAAACAATCGATACTATCGTAATAGTATCGGGCTCAAATAATTACTAAAAAACCATTGAAACCTTTTAGGATATTGTCCATTGTAAAAATTAGATGCCACCTGTCGATTTGTCTACAAATGTGTCTTCGTATTTTATAGCAGCCAATCCAAACATATCAAAAGCGCATCGACTGTAGCTCGATACTATCATGATAGTCGCAAAACCGTCGATAGTAGAGGCTGGCAGTAAAATATCGATACTATCGATAGTGCCCTCGATGGTTTGACACCTGTAATATTTACAAATTCTTTGAAAAAGTACCAAACAATCGACAAAATTGACGTAATTGTCAAGTTGTCTTCTTCGACTTGGCAATTTCCACCTTGTAAGGGCGGCCAAATAATCACACGCTACTCAAGGGTAGAGTGGTAACATAAAACCCCAAACAAACAAAAAATACATGGAATTTAGTTGGGATATTATTGCCTGTCTGAGCATAGCGGTGCTAGTACACATTATAGTTTACGTGTTTGTGATGGAAAAGCGAGCCAAGAGCATCGATGGACGCCATGTCGTGGTCACCGGCGGCTCGAGCGGCATTGGTGTCTGCCTGGCCATAGAATGCGTCACGAAGGGCGCCCATGTTACGATTATAGCGCGTGACGAAAAAAGGCTGAGTAAGTTATACACCGGTTTCATTTGGAGAGCCCCACCCTACACACTTATCGCTTTACAGAAGCCGCTGTGGACCGGATGGAGCTTGTGCGCCAGCGACCGGATCAAAAGCTGCAGTACCGCAGCCTGGACATTGGCGGAGACTATGAGGAGGTGGCTCGTGTGCTGGCCGAGACCGAGGATACTGTTGGCCCCATTTACGCGCTGCTCAATTGCGCGGGCATGGCCATTTGTGGTGTCTTCGAGGAAGTTTCTGTACGGGATGTCCACAAGCTGATGAATGTGAACTTCTTTGGCAGCTACAACTGCACCCGTCACGTCCTGCCCAAGATGAAGAAGGCGAGGGAGGGCATCATTGTGATTACCTCATCGCAGGCCGCCATGTTCGGCATCTATGGCTATGGACCGTATGCAGCCAGTAAATATGCACTGCGAGCGATGGCGGAAACGATAGCCATGGAGTCGCGGGAGCACGGCGTCAGTGTCACCTTGGCCCTGCCCTGTGACACAAACACACCAGGATTTGAGGAGGAGGAGAAGTCCAAGCCACGCGAAACAAAGATCATCTCGGGCGGTGGAGGTCTACTAAAGCCAGAGGACATGGCCAAAGCCATTCTCAAGGATGCCTTGGTGAGGCATTGATTTATCTCCTTTCCATTCTCAAATTTCATGAGTATTTTCCTTGCAGAAGGGCAACTTTATCTCGACTGTGGGCGCTGAGAGCTGGCTGATCACCACGCTAGGCGGTGGGCTGCTGCCCTGGGATGGCTTCTTCACAAATCTCCTGCACGCCTTGGTCATCGGTCCATTGCGCTTGTTCGGCTATGGCCTGCACAAGTACTTCAATAGCATCATACGCAAATGCGCCAAAGAGGATCGTGCCAAAAAAGATGGATCTGGGGATAAAGTGGCATCGAAATGATCGGAATTCCTATCATGTCTCTATAGCCCGTATATTTAAGCACTTATTTTTGTATTTCCCACATTGCATGCTGCATGGTTGGCAAACTACTATTCCAAATATCGCCTGACAACAGCCACTTTCGCAGTCATGTAATCTAATTGTTCTATAAAGTGTATTTTCTATGTATTTCTAGTCTTGTAGGTGATTAAACTGATAAATATTACACACATTTAATACCTATAAGGCATTTCTCCTCAAGAACCAACAGTCAGCATGGCTTGCCGGCTGTTCTTGATTAGATAAACCCCATTTTGCCACTTGTAGACCCCCTACTCCATCACACCCTCTGATCCGACTCAACGATAAGACACCATTCAAAATAGGTCAAAATATGCGCGCATACATATTCGAGTTTAGTTTTTTTCTTTTGTCTCCCTTTATTCATAAGACGCACCCCAGTTTTACACTCTTCCTTTAGTTCCGTTTTTCATTCTGCCTTTTAACATTTTGTATATAGTTAACGCTAAACAAAAATTATTTGTATAATTATAATGCAAATTATATAAATACATACATATATATATATATATGCTAGTATATATATATATGTATATAGTTGTAAACATAAAGTGTTATAGCATCTAAGCATCAGATAGATAATCAAAGAATTATTATTGGATTTCAATAGGTAAATTCTATTTTTTGGATAGGACAATTTGTTTTGTAATATTATGCTTTAGGTTTAGGTCTGGTTATTAAATTATAGTAGTTACCCAGGGGGGGGGGATTGCATTGTAACTAAATAATGTATACAATAAACAATTAAACAAAGGTCTTTATGTTGCACAAGACGCCGTGCGACAACTCAATAGTAAAGAAGAAAAATGCTACGCAAACCAAAAGAAATTATTTCACGATTACAAGCCAAAGAATGCTGAACTTAATTTTGGGTTTCGATTGTGGATTGCTCTTGGATTGGTGTTTGTTTGTGTGTGTATGTTGGTGTTGGTGTTGCTTGATTGGTTGGTAGCTTCCTCTAGTAGTCCTCAATTGCAATGATTTGCGGTGGTTTAATGGACCCTACTCCCACTGTTGGCGACCCCACATCCTTGGTCGCTGCGTTGTCGCTAGTTGATGTTGTTGTTGGTCCAGCAGCAGCATTTGGTGTTGCAATTGCAGTGGCAACCACCTCGCCCGCTGCTGTCCGTGTCTCCGGCGTCTGTGCGGCTAATTGTCACTTTGAGTTGCCCGCCACTGAGTTGGCGCCCGCCTGGTCGTTCACCCTCTGATATCGTGGCTTATTGCGTGTGAAGGGCAAGTACTTGAACTTGATCATATGCTTGATCTGTCGCTTCATCGTGATGCAGAACAGCGTGATGAAGTACATGACCAGTATGGGCCAAAAGACGGGTACATTGAAGAAGTCGAAAAACGTGCAGAACAGACCGATCCCCGTGCTCTTTGTCACCGACAGCCAGAACTTGAACTCCGGCAGGCGTCGTATGAAGGGACGGAATTCCTCATTGCTGCGCGTCGGCAGATTTGGACCATCGTCTTCGTCGTCCTGTGCATAGGGATCGAATTCTGGATCGATTTTTGGCGTTAGAAATGCTATAAACAGATTCAGATGATAGATGCCCAGCGCATAGCAGATGATGTACCATCCTTGGTATATGAAAATGCGAAGCACGAAGAGCAGGAGTACAAAGCCAGCGAACACCCAACGCAGTCGCGTATGCGGCGTCGAGCGATCCAGCGTTGACTGATAAGTCTACAAAGAGGTCATATATGTTTATGGATGGTCGATGTCGATTGCCTTGGGTACCACTCACCTGTGAGAGGCGTTGAAACACCTTCTTGATGCCTCCGCCACCAGATGACGACGACATCGTGGCACTGCTGTCTTCATTCATCATTGTTGCCACAGCACCCGCTCTACTTCCTCACCATTAATCGGAGCGGTTGTCCACGTTCTTGTTTACTTTGACGTACAGCTTCGGAGTGGGCTACGATGCTGCGCTATCGATTTGGGCTTGGAGTGGACAAAAGTAGAGTCTAACTAAACACAAAATAGGCAACACGGTGCGTTCTAAATCACTAATTATTTCATTGCCGAGACGTTCCGTTTTAGGTTCCTCCTCTGCCTCTTCGTCGTCGTTCTGCTTGTTCTGCTATTCTTCTTCTTTGTGTTCTCTCCCCTAGTGCGAGTTTTTGCGCTTGTCAGTTGTGTAGATTGAACTATGCTTTGTTCTCAATGCCTGCTTGCTGTTGTTCAATATCTTCTAACTATATCGCAACTGTTATTCCATTACAGTTCTATTCCTAATTTGATTACTGTGTGTGTCGGCAATTTATTGTTCTTTTTTTCACATCCACGTCATTATAGGGTATATCGATACATCAGTATACCGATATATCTTCTGTGTTTGATAATATGTGGGTAATATCTTTGTGCGATAAGCGGAATTATTCGTCGTTTTATTTTGAAAATAACCCAAGCATTAATTTATGAAATAATTTGTAAGCTGTTATTGAGCCTTCTGCTCTGGCTCGAGAGCTTTTAGGATTTACTTAACGCTTAAATGGTTTGAATTGAAGAGCTAAAGAATTTATAGGCAAAGCAAACATTATTTAAAAACTGTTAATACACTTCTTTAGAGGGTATCTATACATCGATATCGATATCCAAAATTTTTACCGCGTTTGTCTTCAAAACCAGCCAGATTGCCAGCACTGATTTACAGCAACAAACAAAATAAACATCTTTAATTTGCGGAAAAGTTAGTCAAGTCCCGAGATGGCGCTTCTGTGTCGAACTTGTGGGGAGCTCGCAATAAATCCAAGGAGACTTTTTGATAAGAGAGGAGCCGACGTATTAAACGACATCCTTAAATTGACGGGCATCTGGGTAGGAATAAATCCGTGAAAAACATACATTACATACTCATATATGTATGTATGCAAGTATATTGTTACAATTACTAAATTGAGTTTAATTCCAGCTTACTAATAGAGAAGGATTCCCCTCACATATATGCTCCATCTGCCTGCAACACTCAAATGAAGCCATGGCATTTAGGGAGCTTTGTATAAGAACTAACCACTCTTGGTACGAAACACTCGATGCGTCCGACTCCAAGACGGCTGACGACGCTGTGCACCTGGATCCACTAATTGGAAACGACGAAGCGGCGACACCTGAAGAGAACAAGGAATATGTCACAGTGGAAATTGAAACTCTGTGTGAGGAAAGAACGTCTGTAAGTCCTTTAAGCCTCCATGCAGAACCAGATTCATTAACTGCTTACAAGATAGCATCGTTGCGTCGTGAAAGGAATCCATCAAATATGCGCCAAAAAGCTACAAAAGAACAATCTGAAAAAATAGCTAATGATGGAGAGTGTCATGATGAGCTCTTGGACTTTGGGCCCCTGACAAATGAAGATGTTCAGCTTGTCCTTGAGGAGGAGAATCATGAGGAAGAAAACGTTATAAAAAGGACTTTGAAAGGGTTCAAGTCACGATTAGATTCGTGCTCTGTTCCCAAGAAGAGAGTATTCCGAGGTTCCAGGAAATTAAGTGTTGACCCAGTTATAAAACGTGAAGGGGATCTTGCAAAGAAGAAGCGGTATAGAAGAGCCATTCGTGGTTTTTACTGCGACCAATGCGGCAAATGGTTCCAGGATAAAAGCAATCTTAATGTACATTTGACGCGGCACACGGGCGTCAAGCAGTTTGAATGCGAGGAGTGTGGGCGCAAGGAGTTTACTATGCATCTTTTGAGCCTTCATATACGAGTAAAACATAAAGGGGAACTGCCATACTCTTGCAAGTACTGTGGACAGCGATTTGACAACTGCATAAAACGTTTAAGACATGAAAGGTGGGTAATTTATTCATTGTTAGACTCAGACTAACCACAGATTGCATTTTTCTCAGGCAGCACAAGGAGTGCCCCGATATTCGACCTCACGTGTGTCCTGTTTGCGGAAAAGCCTTCCAACTTAAGAGAGCCTTAAGGATGCATGAGATTGTGCACACGGGTGAACAACCATTCCAGTAAGTTGTAAAACAGCTTATATATACGCATTATGTTTGAACATCCATGTTTATCCGCAGCTGCGAGGTCTGCGACGTACACTTTAACCGCAAATCCAGCTTACAAACCCACAACCGTTCAAAGCTGCACATTAAAAAAGTTGGTCAAGGTCAGACCAAAACACAGCTAGATGTATTTATGGACGAGGATACCTAACGCAACAAGTAGTAAACCAATTAAAGTTGATGTAATTTTAAAAGTTACTACATTACCGCTTAAATAAACAAAAGTACCGTTTAGATAGACATGGTATCGATATATATATGTATCGATATAAAGCTTGATTTGTGTTCTTTGAACATGCTGTCTCATAACTGTTCATTTTGCAAAAATCCAAAACGGTGCCAGAGCAGCGTTTCTTGAGTTTCTTCCTCTTGCAAAAGAGCCAGTCAGAGACATCATTTCAGGCGGCTGAAATGAATAAATGCCGAACTTGCTATCGGGACTTGCTAGTTGATGAGGACGCCAAAGATCTCTACAATCAAAATAACAATGCTCTGCTGTACCACATAGAGGCAATAACTGGCGTCTGGGTGCGTATAAAATTGATAGAATCAAGCGGCTTTCTGTAACTATTTAACTGCTTGCAGATAAGCGGGCTGCAGGGTGTGCCTCATCACATGTGCCCGCAATGCCAGGACACCTTGCAGAAAGCCATTGAGTTTCGAGAGAAATGCATAAGAACTGAATTCGGACTCACCAGCCACCAAGCCAGCAAAGGGCTCACGGAGCGTGATTCCCCAAAAACCGAAGCAGAAACTGAGGAAATCGAAACTGAATTGGAGAATGTATTGTACGAAGAGTCGGCGCAACAAAACGAAGGCTTATCAGACACAGAGTCACTTTATATGGAATATCCGCTCATAGAAGCTATTGAAACCGAACAGTGTGGACCAGCAGGCAATGGTCCATACCACAACAAACACAAAGTGGATCCTTTCCACTCAGAACCGAAATTGCAAACGCCAAGGGCAAAACGATCAAAACTAACCAAAGAGGAAAAGAATCTTAAGCGGCGCGAGCAGATACGCTCCAAGCCACTAAGCTATGTCTGCGAGCAGTGTGGGCATGCCTTTCGTATGTCTTCCCACCTACAGCTTCATATGCTTCGTCACAGCCGCGTCAAGAACTTTGAGTGCCCGGAATGCTTGAAGAAATTCTACACCTCGTACTTGCGGGACAGTCACCTACGCGTTCGTCACAACCGAGAGCGTCCGTTCCCATGTAACCATTGCAGCGAAACGTTTGCCTACTGCAATATGCGTCAGAGGCATGAGAGGCAAGTCGAAACCACACGAAACCTGCATATGTCCGCCGCCTAACCTTTTCAAACTCTGCAGGGAGATTCACGGAGCACCTCCTCGCATTGTCATGAGTCGCAGCAGCACAAATCCAAAAGTTCAACAGGACAATTGTAAGCGTCACTTTTGCCAGCTCTGCACAAAAAGTTATGCCTCGAAGTATTCGCTCAGTTGGCATATGAACTCGCACACTGGGGTCAGGAACCTCAAGTGCAAGTCGTGCGACATGACCTTTCCCGATCCTGTTTCGGTGAGACGGCACGAGCGGTTGCATGAGAAGAGGCCTCTGCAATGTGATGTCTGTTTGAAAGGATTTTTCGTTCTCAGCAAGCTCAATGAGCATAAGCTTATACACTCTGGCGATCGGCCATTTAGGTAGGACACTACATTTCCCCAGTCTTCAAATGAAAGCTACATTTATCCTACCATATCCTTTTCAGGTGTGAAATTTGCGATGTATATTTTCGATACAAATATAATCTCACAACACACAGGCACAGTAAAATCCACGAGTCGAATTTGTTAAAGATTCAAGAAGAGAAAAAGGCTTAATTAAATATAAAACGCAACTGAACATGAAATGATCAAATAAATGAAGAATTATTTAAATCTTGGAAAAATTGCCGCGCACACTGCAAGCATGCTTTTCATTTATCGACTATCAATATTTGCTTGAATTTCGTCCATCACTAGAAAACATCCAAAACATAATTTCTGTTGTTTTTATACCCAAAAATTGATCTGCTGGCGGCTATTTGGCAACGATGAATGCGAATGCTGCGCCTGTGGGGAAACTGAAATGCAGAACATGCCTGGGAGAGTTCGACGAGGAGACAATGAGTGGTTTGTTTGAATTGAACGAGATGGACGTGGATGCAGAGGACGCCGGGAGTGAAGATCTCAGTGAACAATTTCAGTTCTGTTGCGGGATTAAGGTAGTTGGCCAAATAAGCAAATAAAAATTATCATAGTTCATTTGTGCTTCTGAACCTTTAACAGGTTCGCAACTCTCCTCGGCTGCCTTCCAAGGTGTGCAGCAAGTGCCGCGAATTCGTTCAGATGTGGTTAAGCTTTCGCCAAATGGTCCTCAATTCCCAAGTTTATTTGGAGACATGCTCGTCGGATGGCGGGCAGCCCGAGGATTTCAAGCAAGTCAACACTAGCGAGCTTATGGAATACATGTACCAAAACCTTCAAGTGAATAGTGGCCCTGAAAATGAGTACCAGGATGACAGCAGCCGCCAGGAGGAAATTGAGGATATAACTGCACAGTATCAGGAGATTCTCGACGGTGTCAACTATGTCACTGACAATGGGGAGCTTGTGCCCGATGAGCAAGACACGGATGCCGACGGCCAAGCTGGGGAGCAGTCTACTGAAACGTTGGTTGTAAACGTTCAACCATTTGAACAAGATCTGGTTGTTGATGAAACCATCGAGACCGTCGGCAATGGACAAGTAGTCGACTCTCCCATAGTGAAGGAGGATTACTGCGACGTGGATGATTTTGTGGACAGTAACATAGACTTTCTGTCGCCCACACCATCGCCAGAACCGAAGCCCAGCAGCACTGCCAACAAACGCCGGCCAGGCAGGCCCCGCAAGCCCGACAATGAACTGAAATGCAAGCGCAAGACCAAAAATCCCGGGCAGCCCGCAACAGAGTTCAAACGCTCGCCCACAAAATTTATGTGCAACTTGTGCGGCAACGTGTACACCAAAAAGTCCTTGTTTACCGCACACATGATGGCTCATGCCGACTACAAGCCCCACCAGTGCGAGTAAGCAACGAAAGCTTCATTTTTACCATGCCAACTTCTTAACCATTGTTTCATTGTAGAATCTGTGACAAATCCTTTCGCCAAATGGGAGAGCTGCGGGCCCACATTCGTCGTCATACGGGTGAGCGACCCTACAAGTGTCTGTATTGCGAGCGTCACTTTTACGACCGCAGCGAAAGGGTGCGCCACGAGCGAGTCCACACCAACACGCGCCCTTATGAGTGCAAGGAGTGCGGCAAGGCCTTTACGCACACAGCCATCCTCAAGAACCACAGTCTGGTGCATTCCGGCGAAAAGAATTACAAGTAACAGAGCACAGCACCTCAGCATAGAGTGTCCCCTAGTCTAATCTAAAACATGGTTTTTCTCTGCTTTTAGTTGCGCCGTATGCTCCAAGTCATTCACCCTGATGCACCAGCTGAAGGCCCATCAGCAGACGATAGTCCACAGGAACATGGAGGAGCAGGCACTGGCAAATTCCTCAGCCTACACATAGCTTAAGCTTTAGTATAGTTTTCTTTCTTAAGATTGATTTATGCAATATAAGCTAGACTAATAGAAGAGTTATTTGTTTATTTGTTTTCTGACTTGGACGGGGGATCACGATCCTCGTCTTCCATCGTCATATGTGCGTGAGTCTTTAGGTGAGCTTTTAACTGATGCGGCAAACGGAATTTCTTGTCGCACTTTAAACACGCGTGAGCCTTCTCCTTCGAGTGCGTTAGAATGTGTGCCTTTCGGGTGGAGGATAGTGAAAAGCTTTTCTCGCAAATGGTGCAGGCGTATGGTCGCTCATTCGTGTGCATGCTGAAAGGGGGCAAACACATAATCATTAAATAAAATAAACATTTCCGTGGAACTCTGGATGTATCTCACCGTTCGTGCTTGCGATGTGTGCTGCGATCGGCAAAGCAACGCGAGCAATGTTCACATTTATATGGTTTCTCCCCCGTATGGGTTCTGATGTGTGTGTTCAGGTTGCAGCTGGTGGTGAAGCGTTTGAGGCAAACTCTAAAGGATATTTTTTTGGTTATTTTGGCTGGGTGGGATTTTTTTAATCAGTAGGAGACTTACTCGCATTCATAGGACCTCTCGTTCAGATGGGTGCGTATGTGGTCAGCAAGTTTTGACGAGCTGTGGTAAGTGTTGCTGCAGACAACGCACCTGTGCTTTTCTGGAGAGCACGCTACTCCGAGATCTATTTTATATACGGTGGCAGGTTCTGGCTCTAGGGCGGAGTTATCCTGTGTCACGTCGCTTTTGACGAGATAATCCTCATATGAGCCAACGTTTATGCATAGTGCTACGTCCTCATTGGCCCCGTAGTTTATTTGGAATTCTTCGCTGTCTGTGGTGGTCAGATAGCCCGCATTTTCAAAAGACTCGCTTACATTTGCAGTGGAAGCAGGCTGCACTGTGTGTGCAACTTCTGATAGTTCAACGAGCGTTTGAAATGTTTCGCCCAGACTTTTTTCATCAGTTACATTATTGTTCCCAGAATATTCCAATTTGGGATACTTGTCCTGTCTTTCTAAAATCGTTTGTTTTCTCGCACGTTTTCGCGTTTCAACGCCGGGCGATGTACTTGTGGGTCCTTTTAGCACCGACGTTGAGGAAATTGCCTGGCGCACGAGACTCCTCAGCTGCTCATCGGCCAGCTGACAGGTGGTGATAAATCTGTGCACTTCTTCCAGCATTTGAATGCAAGTGATGCATATTTTGTCAGGCAAGCCATCGTCCAGAGACACCTAAAAACAAATATGAGAACGAATGCTGCTAATTTTATCGTCGCATACTCACATTCAGCCCCGCATACTCGTTCAAAAGCCGGGGGGCTGATTCAGAATCGAAGAGCGGTTGCAGATTTATGGTCTCCTCACTTTTGCAAGTTCTACACATGCTCCACTTGATGCTGATTTCCATTATTGTTAATTCCTTCGTGCCTGCTGGCCGATTTAATTTATCCGATTCAAATGCTATTCCAGATTCTGTAGTGTGACTGTATGACGCCGCACTTAGCCCATTAAGTGCCACTGGGTGTTTAAATACCCACGAAAATTGTGGAACGGCGCACTCATTTGAAACAGCACCGGATGTCCTTCATGCAAAAAAAATAATTAATACATAGATGCAATTAATAAAAGTAATTGTCAAAAATGGATTAATCTCTTCACACAAAGTGTCCATAAATACTCTTGCCATGAAAATGGGCCCTTAATAGGTTAAAAATACCGAGCTGCTGTTGAAGTGTGCCCATATGTGAAAAATACCAGGGAAAGCAGTGAAAAAGTGGAAGACTAGACGCTTGTTTATTTATTTTATTTAGTTGCAAAACAAGTCTTTAAATATGCCCGAATACATGCTTTGTAGGATCTGTTTAACAGAAGATTTAAGTTCGGACGGAATGACACCACTTTTCGACGAGCAGAACGTCGAGTGTCCAGAGCTCGTGAGAAAAATTGAAGAAATCGGCAGCATCAAGGTACATGTGTGCAGACCCCAAGACCCCAATTTGACAGCAACTAATTTCTTCATATTTGCAGCTAGCCCCACTTCAGGACATGGTAAGCATGCTTTGCTTTAATTGCGTCGACACCCTTACTATTGCACATAAATTCCGAGAACTGTGCCAGGCCAGCGAGCAAGCCTTTTCCGATAATATTGTCAAGGTAAGCTGCGTTTAAAGTATGCTTGCTATGATTCTCCGACACATCCTGATTCTTTGGTTGCTTTAAGGCGGAGATGAAATGCGAGCCTACAGACGATCCTCCGAGCATGGAAGAGCATCACATTGAATATATATACGAGGCAGCCAGCGAATTTATTGATGCCGATGGGGATATTGAACTAGACACCATGCTGGAAGAGCGTTTGGAGGATGGAATCGCAGAAGCTGAAGCGACATATGGCGACATGAATGTGGTGGAGGAGGTCGATGATAATGACCTGCTGTTAGAAAACGCTAGCGATAGTGACTACGAACCCAGTGAACGTTTCCGAAAGCCCAAGATTCGTAAAACACGGCTAGCCAAACGTGGTCGTGGCCGACCACGGAACTCCACAGCAGAAAATGGTCAGGAAAAAGCGCCCGGTGTGTGCAGGTCCAATGAAGAGCCCACAAATATCATGTGCGAAATATGTGGCAACATCTACTCCAAGAGAGCAGCCCTCAACATTCACATGCGCCGTCACCTGGCTGAGAAGCCTTTCGAATGCGAGTGCGTATAACACACACAAATCTAATTTATTCCTTGACTGATTGACCATTTTCCTCCAGGATCTGCAGCAAAACGTTTGCGGGTCCCTCGGAACTAAATCGCCATATAAGAGTGCATACGGGCGAGAAACCGTTCACGTGTAAATACTGCTCCCGTTCGTTTGCAGATCGAAGCTCCAACATACGGCATGAAAGGTGAGAATCCATGCCTATGGTAGCACCCCTCACTGAATTTATATATCCTGCAGAACTCATACAAATGAACGGCCCTTTGCCTGCTCAACATGTGGCAAGTCCTTCTCCTATTCTAATGTCCTGAAGAACCACATGTTAACTCACACGGGGGAGAAGCCTTTCTTGTATGTACTTTTTATATAGCTATAGCGAGAAAGGAAAGAAATTTTCCATTTCAGGTGTCTGCCGTGTAATAAAACATTTTCCCGTAAGCACCAGCTGGAGCAACACATCGGCACAATGACCCACCAGCAAACTATGAGAGCGCATCAGACAAATGAGGCGTTACGGGGGACTTCGGAATTATACTAGTGCAATTTAATTAACATATAATAATTGTAAATAAATGTTTAAATATTACACATAACAAATAACTGTACGATTTCTACACGGCAACTACATAGTATGTAGTTTTCCTGAGAATTGGCACGCTGCGGTCACACTGCCAGTCATAATCGATAACGATTATAACCAGCTGATTATATATGTGTAGATCTTCGTATGCGCGCAATTTGTATTCCCATAGTTGATAAAAAAAGAAAATTGCATTTCCTTGGTGTGCAACACCATAAAACATAAAAATGCCGTTTACATGTCGAGGTTGTGGGGGTGACATTTTTAATACTACAGCCAAGAATATATTCCACATGGAGAACGAGCAGATGCTTTCGAACCTCCAAGCAGTGAGCGGGATCTCGGTAAGCTCGATCCATCAAGTAAAGAAAAATTCATTTTATCCTAATACCTATTGCAATTTGTAGTTCATGTATGATCCCGACCTGCCAAGCTGCCTATGCTCGTTTTGTTTGTTCGACTTGAATCAGGCAGTCGTGTTCCGAAATCGCGTTCGGGCTCAGGCGGACTTTCTGCTGCAGCAGCAACTTCCCAGCAGGTCCACGACTCCGTCCGAAATGCCAGTATGCTACATACCAGATAGTGACGAGGAGAATGAGCAAGCACAAGCCGTTGATGGTTTGGATAATGAACAGGACGTGTCGACGGATGATGTTAATGTTTCCCATGATGAAAACGAAGACTTGTTTAAGGGATTCCCAGAATCCGATCAGGATTCCGACACCCATTCCCCGGCTCCGAGTATGCAAGGAGAAGAGCTGGACGAAAACCAGGCACTATCAATCCACATACTAGATAGTGACGAGGAGAATGAGCAAGAAGAAATAACCGCCGCCGACAACATGGTTACGGATATGCTAGAGGAGCTGGAAGCAAATGGGTCCGACGACCAAACACCTGATGCGGCACAGGATGATGACTCTCTGATGGCGAGTCTGGAAAAGGGGTTGGCAGGAAGATCTGATTTCGACGAAACTGATGCTGCCGAGACACCGCAAGTTGCTGCGTTGCTGATTGCGAGTCTGCAGAAGGATTTAGGATATGCTAATGCTGGCAGTGATACCGAAAATATCATCGAGACGCCGAAACGCTCTAACAAAAAGCCTAACCCCAATCTTCCAACTTCTAAGAATGTTAATAAGCCCAATCCTTTGCCCGCTAACAGCGTTGGCAAGCAACGCTGTTTGGCAGAGAAGAAGATGGCTAAATGCGGGTGCGTATGAAACTAGATTTAGGATTTGTACAAATGTTGTATTCTATGAACGAACCTTTAGAGTTTGCAGCAGGATGCTTGGTTCTTCCCATGCGTTAAAGTGCCATATGCGAACACACACGGGCGAGCGACCATACATGTGTCAGCACTGTTCTAAACAATTTGTGACTGGAGGCAATAAAACCCGTCATGAAAGGTGAGAGAGTGAGAGATCGCTGGATACTGAATTTATTGTCCATAATTTCCTCTAGAATTTGCCTCGGCCAAACTACAACGGACCCAACGGACACGGCCAAGACACCATTACAGTGCCAGCGCTATTTGCATTACTATTCGTCTTTAGCCAACAAAAACCGTAATGAAAGGTGAGAGAGTGAGAGATCGCTGGAATCATACTGAATTTATTATCCATAATTTCCTCTAGCAAAACGTTTGCGGGTCCCTCGGAACTAAGTCGCCATATACGAGTGCACACGGCCGAGAAACCGTTCACGTGTAAATACTGCTCCCGTTCGTTTGCAGATCGAAGCTCCAACATACGGCATGAAAGGTGAGAATCCATGCCAATGGTAGCACCCCTCACTGAATTTATATATCCTGCAGAACTCATACAAATGAACGGCCCTTTGCCTGCTCAACATGTGGCAAGTCCTTCTCCTATTCTAATGTCCTGAAGAACCACATGTTAACTCACACGGAGGAGATGGCTTTCTTGTATGTACTTTTTAATATAGCTATAGCGAGAAAGGAAAGAAATTTTCCATTTCAGGTGTCTGCCGTGTAATAAAACCTTTCCCCGTAAGCACCAGCTGGAGCAACATCTTGCCACAATAGCCCACCAGCAAGCTGTGAAAGCGCCCAAACCGATACGAAATAGGCGATATACCACGCGTATATGATGCTGGAGCAAAACATCGCCGCCGAAGGAAAACCATCCAGCTGTGAAACCGCACAATGCTATACGAAATACACGTATCAAAATCAAATTAGATGCATAAATATATGAATAATCAATATAGAATCGAATGCTGCGATTCAGATCTTTAAGAAAGGCTAAGAAATCATATACCACTCGTATTATGACCAGTAAGCTGTGAAACCGCCCAAAGCTATACAAAATAAGAGATATACTACGCGAATATGATGCTATTAATATATATAAATGCATAAATACATAAATATTCAATAAAAAATCGAATCGTCTCTAAAAAATGCTTGTGATTGAAGGCTGTACGACTGTCTGAGCTGCCTCCAGTGCCTTCTCCATGTGTGTGCTGGTAGCCAAATGATTTTGCAACTGTGCAATTCGTAAGAAGCGCTTGTTGCAGATGCCACAGCTGTAAATAAAATTGGAACCAATTATTTGTGCCTTGATCATTGACTGGCAATGCTTACACATGCTTGCGCTCGTCTGCTGATGCGTGTGTGAGGATGTGCTTCCTTAGGCAGCCAGAGCTCACGAAACCCTTGCCACACGTTTTACACTCGAAACGCTTGTCATTGCGGTGGCGTCTGTGGTGCTCTTCGCGCGAGCTCGCATCTGAAAATCGACGAGAACAGTAGGTGCAGACGAAGGGCTTCTCTCCCGTGTGGCAGCGGTTGTGTCGCACCAACTCCTTACGAGTGGCGAAACGTTTGCCGCACTCACTAATGAGGATGGGAGCTGCTGATTAGCAGGTAGCATGGCATATATTTGGGGGAATATGTTTTACCTGAACTGGCACACGAAATTCTTGATACCAGAGTGCCGTAGTTTGTGCTCTTGAAAGTTGCTCCAGCTGTTTATAGACTTTCCACAGTCATCGCATATATACGGCCCTGCAGCATATCTGCCGCTGCGCTTTTTTTTCGCTTGCTCCACAGGGTTATTGTTCTGCGTGCACATTTCTGATTCATATTCCAAAGCATAATCATCAGCGTTCTCTTCATCGGTGTTTAGCCCATAAGACTCTATTTCCGAGTCGGAATTCTCCTCTATGCTGGCAACGGACGTGCCAGTGGAATTTGCTTTTTCCTGATTACGCTTCTCCGAGATGATGCAGCGCTGCCGAAACTTTATGGCACAGTCCAAGTCGAAAACGCACTTGTCGCACATATGGCTGGAGAGTCCCTCCTTTTCATTTAGCTACGGAAATTAATTTAATCAGCCAAATACAACTTGCGTATAATTTATTTTGTGTATTTACCCCGACCCCTGTTATGGATAGAATTTGGCGGATCAAGTGGCCGTTCTTCGGGCAGAATAGGTATATCGACGCCTCTTGGCCACAAATGCGACATATCCTGGGCATGTTGTACTGTACTCCGGCTGTGTGGACGGTGCGCTTGTAGTAGAGTAGTCGTCGCAATAGTTACCCAGCACCACGTATAGGCGTGATTTAATTTTTTTAATTGGATTATTTTATTGTTTACAGTGCAGTGAAGAAATGGCGCATATCGTTATCGAGAACCGATTACAAACAGCTGTGTATATTTTATTTTGTTTGCATTTGAATAAAATTAAAAATATGTATCTAAAATGACGCTCCAATGCCGAATCTGCGGGGGCGTCATCTACAACACCAAGGCCAAGAATCTATTCCAGAATGAGAACTCTACGCTGTTGCTGAACATCGAATTGGTGTCCGGGATATTGGTAAGTTCAAACCTTCGAGTTACAAAAAAAGTCGACAAATCTCAAAATTTCCACTTCAATTTTTAGCTGGTGAATGATCCAGAGCTGCCCAGTTGCATCTGTGCTTGTTGTTTGCACGACTTGACTCAGGCAATCGTGTTCCGAAATCTCTGTATCCAGACGCAGGAGAACTTGCGGCAGAATCGCAGCAGGACTCCTTCGGAGCTGGCGACGGACTATGATGAGGACACAGAAATTAAGCAAGAGATTGAAATGGACAATGAGCTGGCGGCCATGTCATCTGGTGATCTTGACTATTCCTATGCAAATATGGACGAGCTGTTCGACACAGGTGACGACCCACCGAACCATAGTAGTGACGAGGAGGAGGACACTGCTCATGATGCAGACTCTCTGATTACGAGTCTGAAGAAAGAGCTGGGTAGCATTTATGACAGCAGTGATGACGAAGTCGAGCACGATGAGCTCGCGGAGTTCTCCGAAAATAACAACTCAAGCGGCAGATCCTCTCAAGCTGACAATGTGTCATTGTCACCTGTGTTGGTTACCCAAACCAAGAAAAGAGGCCGACCCAAGAAAATACCAACTGCAACATCGCCAGCTAGCAAAGCCAAGAAACAATACACGACTTGGAAAAATTTAACAGAGGAGGAGATAGTCGAAAGGAAGCGGCAACAGCGGCGTCGGGATTGTGTCTGTGAGCAGTGCGGTAGGCACTTTACCGATCAGAGCAACTTCAAATTGCACATGATCAGGCATACGGGCATCAAGAATTTTGAATGTCAGGATTGTGGGAAAAAGTACTACACAGATCATTTGCTGTCGCTCCACCAAAGGATTGTTCACAGAGGCGAAAAACCCTATGCCTGTAAATACTGCGACAAAACTTTTCACAACAGTACAACCCGCGTAATACACGAACGGTGAGTAAAATTAACCTAAACTAACATATAATTCCAACTAATATCTATCTATTTAACTCTCAGAATTCACACAAATGCACGACCGTATGCCTGTAACCATTGCAGTAAAAGTTTCAGCTCGGCATCCGGGCGCAAGCGGCATGAATTAATACACACTGGCGTGAGGGCATTTTAGTGAGTAAATCTATTTTGATTGTTTCGGCAAACCCCCGATTGATTTATATTATTTTTGCAGCTGCGCCACCTGCGATCAAACTTTCCAGCGCAACACACACTTAAAAGCTCATCTTCAGTCAAAGTTACATGTCATGAGAGCAAAACATAAGGATTTTCTTCCACCGGAGATAAATTAAACGATTAAAACCATTCAAAGAATTAGTTTTATTCATGCCTTTTCAACTTTCCAAACCAAGTAGATAAATTAGCCCAGCCAGACATATTTCCTTCTTTCAACGAACGAGTCTATCAACGCCACAAAACGACGTCACATTCGTTTTATGTTGTTTTCGTTTGAACCTTAATATGTAAATAATCCAATAAAAAGGAGTGCTGAAAACTTTCCAATATTGTTGAAAATTTATGTATCGGATAAAATTATTTGTTTAGGGCTGAGAGTCCCAGCTAGCTAGTAATATTAAACCGAATATCAAAATCAAGGAATATCAACTTTGAATCTTTTTAAAAAAAAATCGATACTATCGTAATAGTATAGGTCTCAAATAATTATTCAAAAACCATTGAAACCTCAAATAATCATTAAAAAACTATTGAAACCTTTTAGGATCTTGTTCATTTTAAAAATTAGATGCCACCTGTCGATTTGTTTACAAATGTGTCTTCGTATTTTATAGCAGCCAATCCAAACATATCAAAAGCGCAACGACTGTAGCTCGATACTATCATGATAGTCGCAAAACCGTCGATAGCAGAGGCTAGCAGTAAAATATCGATACTATCGATAGTGCCCTCGATGGTTTGACACCTCTAAAACGGGGGGAAAAAAACTGTAAAAGCATATTAGATTAGACCAAAAACTACTAGTACGTACGACATGAATGGATGTTTAAGGCCTGCCCGGTGACACGACACGGCCCTAGCAATGACAGAAAATTTGGAGCACGCCTCGAATGTTGATAATTCTCAATTGGAACAGTCGGTGGCTTCTTCTTCCCCCAGTGGACCTCCTCCGCAGATTGGCATTGTTAAATCGGAGAAGGTTGATGCCGAGGTTGAGGCCAAGCTGCGAGCCTTGAATGCGAAAAATAAGTCGGATCAGGTGCGAAGGAACAGCAATGGCCAGCAGCAGGATGACGACACGGAAGACGATGACGAGGACTGTGATGGCGATGGCTCCTCCGTGGACGATAAAAAGGACATTGCGCCGGTGAAGTCATCCAACGAAATACTCGCCGAACTCTTTGGCGTTTTCAATGCAGCACCGCCCGCGGAACTGCTCGACGACAAGAACCTGCTAAAGCTCAAGCACAAAAAGGTCAAGAAGGAGAAGAAAAAAAAGAAGAAAGCATCCAAATCGGATGGCGAGTGGTCCGAATCGGATGCGGAGGGCAAGCACAAGCATAAGCGGAAAAGGCACAAGCATAAACACAAAGAAACCAAGGAAAAGGATCGCGACAAGGCCAAGGAGAAGGAGAGGCCAGCTGTTGCTGCTCCTGTTGCCTCTGTGGTGTCTGCCTGTGTCAAGGAGAAAGAGAAGCCCGAGACTAAGAAACGACCCTCGGGTAGAGCCAACCATGCGGCGGATGTCCTGCCCTCAAAAAGGGAAAAGCGGGATCGGGAACGAGAACGAGAACGTGACCGCAGCCACAACAGCTTCTACAATGGCTACAGGGACAGCGAACGGCCCAGTACCAAAGCTCGCGAAATGTCCGATGTCTCGCTCTCCGACGAGGAATCATATCTGCGAGAGAAGGCCTCCTCTAATGGACGTCGGCGACCTCAGAACAGCTTCTACGACGTGAAAGAAGAGCCCAAGGAGGAGCCCCCCCAGCAGCACCAACGCAACGCTCGAGACTCGGGTTCGAGACGGCCACGGCGGTCAAGATCCCGGTCGCGTTCACGCTCCCGACCCCGAGATCTGGGGATTGACAAGAAGCGGCTGCTGGAGGTGGCGCGCAAGAATGCCATCCACATGTTTAAGCGGGGCAATCTGCCGGGAGTGGCCGATATGACGCCCGAGGTGAAGGACAGGGTATTGATTAAGATGCGTTATGGCGGACGCACCGTCCAGGATCTGACGGACTTCTGCAAGAAGATATCCAGCGGAGACGCGCTGTCCGATCTCAGCTCCGACGAGGAGTCCGATACGGATAAGAATGGGAATGCCAAGGCTTTCCACCACCCCTTTCAGCTGAAGGAGCGGGAACCGATTGTGATGCACATCCGCAACTCCACGCCGATATTGCCGCGGAGGGAGGATCAAACCAAGGCCATAACCATGCAGTTCCCCGTGTCCTCTGGCCAGGCGCATCGCATAACCGAGGCCTGGGTGCCGGTTGAGCGGAAGGATTCATTGGCGCCCCTCCCATCGCTACCGCCCGCCAAACAATCTACGAATATCTTCCAGGACATACAGAAGAATGTGTTTGCCAAATCCATACCGCCTCTGGAGAAGCAAGAGCCCGCCTTTAAGTCGATAGGGGCAATGGCATTGGAATCTTCTTCTGCGTCTGCATCTGCCCCTGCACCTGTGCCCGCACCAGCATCCGTTCCCGCACCTGCTCCTCCGCCTCGTCCAGAGCCAGTTCCAGCTCCAGCTGTGGCTCCAGTAATTGCATTCACTCCCGCTCCGATAGCATTTGTGCCTGAGGTTCCCATACCATCTGCCACAGCACCAGTGACCCCCAGCAGGTCAGCAGCGATGCAGCAGCCGTCACACAGTGCTTCGATCTTTCCGGAGTCGCTGCCGCTCAGCATGGATGTGTCGAGCATCATCACCCAGCGGCTCAGTGCTATCCGTCGGCTACAGGTGAGTCTCCCCAGGGACCCTCTAGCAACCGCATGCCAATCTGACAATCTGAATCATTCTGCAGACAAATCCTACCGACTGCGAGGCCATTAAAATGATGTATAACGCACAGCGGGACATGTCCTCGTGGGCCTCCTCGAAGCACCTGCCAGGCCAATTCACGGGCAGCACGGGCGCCCATGTGTTGAAGGCCCATGAGCTGAATAGCGGACCGCAGCTGTGGGTACGCCGGGATCAGCTGACCTCCACCAAGCCAGTGACCGGCGGCATGGGCATGGCTCTGTTGCAGAAGATGGGCTGGAAGCCCGGCGAGGGACTGGGACGGTGCAAGACGGGCTCCCTGCAGCCCCTCCTGCTGGATGTGAAACTGGACAAACGCGGCCTGGTGTCGCGCGATGATATCAAACTGCAGCCGCCACGACCGGCGGCGGGTCAGCGTAAAAACAAGAACAGTGGCGGTGGCGGCGGCGGCGGTGGTCCTCCTGGCCAGGGTGGCCCTCCGCCAATGGTAGTAACGCTGGACAAGCATCCCGTTTGTGTGCTCAATGAGCTGACATCGAAGAACCGGTGGACGCCGCCACAGTATACCTTGCAGCAGGAATCGGGTCCGTCTCACATACGCAGTTTTCTCTTCTCCGTGGAGATCAATGGGCAATCGTACACCCCCAATCGGCCGTGCAACAATAAGAAGGAGGCCAAGCTAAATGCGGCCAAATTGTGTTTGGAAAGTTTGGGCATCTTGCAGCCCAGCTAGTTAGCCCAGTTGCTTAGGTTAAAGATAATATCAGGATCTATTCTGTAAAGTTTACATGTAAATAGGTATAAAGTTAGTTTAAAATCTGAACTGTAACTATTTTCGCGGAGCTTTCCATTGGAAAAAGCTTTTGAGAGACCAAAAGAGAGCGAGAGTGGCTGACTTTGGCCGCTCTCTTAATAGTACAGGTACAGTGGCATGGGAAAGCCAAGAACGGGAGTTTGGGCCACTAAACCATTTCCACTCAGCTGCACTCATGCTGCTTTTGGCCCACTGTGCAACTCTCGGCTTGCCATTTTTGCGAAAGAGCTTTGCTTTGATTGCTTCTCACTAACGGGTCTTATGCGCAGGCCGAACAAACAGCTGACTGGCCCTGCTGCACAGTGCGGGTGGGCTGGGTGGTCGTGGTTGTGGGGGGTATATTTGCAGTCCATTAAATCTCTCGACACACGACACTCGCAAGCAAAAGCAGCTTAACCCAAACATTGAAGGTCAGTTCACGCGGGAGTGCGCTCCAAACAACTTCGTCGGATCGGATGGCAGCAGTAGACACAGGCGCAGGACCGCAGGATATGGTCAATGGATTGCTGTTGTTGTTTTTGTTGTTATTGTCACCCCGCTGTCACCCAGATACAGACACAAAACTTTTCTGAGTGCCCTAGTCCAGGAGCTCGCTCCCAGCATCCCATGCGAAAATATTGGTGCTGAAAAGTGTGTGCAAATTGTGCTACAGATGTTTTTTTGCATCCTACTGCGTGGCCACTGGACTAGACGGGAATTTGGCTTTGGATTTGGCACAAACAAACAGCGACATTTGTTGGATGGTGGAGCGGGAGAGGCGCCAGTGAAACGCAATTTTTAGAGTTGCATAATTACACGCACACCCATACCCCACCCATGCCCCATACACATACCCATACCCATACCTGCCACTGCCTATGGCTGAAACTGCCACTGGCCATGGAACTGTTGGGCGTTGTTGCGGTTTGATGTGGCCGCTCCTCGGTGCACTTTGCTTGCTGCTGCAGCCATGGAAACGTGTCGCACCTGTGCGATTTCCATGTTTGTTTGCGATTTCGAAAATGGCAGCAACAATTTTTTGGATCTCTTCCATCCCACATGCTGGCAGAGTGAAATGGCCCAAATACGACTGGAGTTTGTCCACTGGAATCTGAAGGTACGTACATTACGACGTGCATCACTTACATACATACATATGTTTGTACTTGTTCGTGTAGTTGGCAAACTGAAAATTACTCATTTTCCAACCAAAGTGAAAGTCTGCATGCACTGAAAACTGCATTGAGTTGAGCTTTGGGATCTGATTACGTTTACTCAGAGGTCTTTGAACTCAATTCAATATTGTTTTGAGCAAAAGATATGAAAAATGTTCGTGAGGTTTTCCAAGCTACTAATCGGTTTATTTATAAATGTTTATAAGCCAAAGAAAGACTTCTATAAAGCCTAAAAATCCTACCATTTCCGTCAGTCCGCTGTTTCCATGACAACTAGTTTATATTCAATCAACAAGCGCTTCTATTGAATTTACTCTATTAAAGGTACTACTAATGCATGACTTATTCTGAAGTTAAATGTGTAGTTTTTATTTCAATTGGAAATGGAAATGGAAACTGTACCGATCCGATAAAATTGTCGGCACTAAATCGAATTAAGACTATGAGAGATTAGAGTTTTGATTAGAGTTACCACCCCTCCAACAAACACTTGCAGATTTCCCCCAATGATGGACTGCCACAGAAAATATGCAGCGACTGTTTTACCAAGTTCTGCTCCATCTACACATTTCGACTGGGCTGCCAGGAGGCGCAGCTAAAGTTGTCGAACATCTATGACAAAATCGATGCCAGCAGCTTGGAGGATGACAACCATGCAGAGGAAGAAGCGGATGCTGCGCCAGAAACAGCAACAATTATAGGAACGACAACATCAACAACGACGGTTTCAACCGAAACACAACCAAACACTGCCACTGCCCCCCCAATAGAATTTTTTGTGGAAACCATAGGCCACAACGAGGCAGACAACGACGAATCACAGCCACCATACCTGGATGATGATGATGATGATAATGAGGCCACTCAGGAACTGACCATTAGCTATGCCTGTAAGTACTGCTTCAAGCCGCAGGAGAGCTACCAGCTGCAGCAGCTGCTCCTGGAGCACATCAATGCCAGCCACGATCCAGATCAGCCGTACAACTGTCCGGAGTGTAAGGAGTGCTTTCAGGATGCAGCCTCCCGGACCGTGCACATCAAGAGCTGTCATGTGGAGAAGCAGTTCAAGTGCGAGGTGTGCGGCAAGAAGTACAGCGATCGCCACAATCTGCGCCACCACATCGAGAAGTATCACTCGGAGACGGACTTTGAGTGCACCATGTGTGAGAAGCGCTTCTTCACACGCAAGAGTCTCAACTATCATATGAAATGGCACAATCCGGAGCGGCAGCTCAAGTGCCGCCAGACCGGCTGCGAGCGTTTGTTCATCAATCAGCGGCACCTCAAATGCCACGAAGCCACCCATACGGGCGCCAGTGCCAGAAAGAGCGAGCACTGTGGCTTCTGTGGTAAAAGTATGCATCTACCTATGCCGATGGCGATTGATCTACTAAATATATATTTTTCCGTAGCTTTCATACACCTAAAGACACTACGATGGCACATCTATAGACAGCATGGTGGGGAGAAGCCCTACAAATGTGCCAACTGTACGGAGGGTAAGTGGAGAGAGACAGAGCAAGACAGGAATGCAGCAAAGATTGATCCCCGAATAGCTTGATTAAAGTCAGGTTTGCGGGGAGGCTAAGAGTACAATAAACATTAATCATATCAATTTGTCGCATCATCAAACATTCTCACATTCAAACCAGCGTTTTAATATCATAGAACTACTGTGGCCCAGCCAGAGCCAGCTCCTTTCCAGCTGCTTCTTATACATAGATTGTGTGTTAGTCAAGTCTGAAGCAACGGTAAACATAATGGCTGATTTAGCTCTTTTTGTATACCTCTTTTTAGCCAAAAGCATGCACTCAATAATTAACAACAAAACGTTTTGTACTTTGCCCACATCATTAGAGTTATTAAACCACCAAAAAACCAAAAAAAATATCAACCAAACCCAAGTCCAACCACCAAGTATGTAAGCCCCTTGGAGAGCAGCATGCATCGTGTTTCTATTTCATGACACCCACTCACTAACCACTAGTTACACATCCAAAACCTATGACTATTCCCCCTTTAATAATGTGCTTACCTATGCCTATGTAGTATTCGCCTCGTATGCAGAGAAAAGGATACACATGCTGGAGCGGCACAGGGAGAATCTAACGCCCATTGAGCGTAGCGAGTGCATGTTGTGCCGCCAGCCCTTTGGCACCGAGCAGGATCTCATACATCACATGTCCGTGGATCATTTGCAGCGTGCGGCCAGTGTGCCAGTTATAGCCAACAACAAGCGTGTGCTGCAGCAGAAGCGGGAGCGTCAGTATTCGGGACTCTTTCAGTGCGACAGCTGCACCCAGAGATTCAATATGAAGTCGGCCCTGGATCGACATGCCGCCGTGCACTCGGAGAAGGACAGGCCGCATGCCTGTCCACATTGCTCCAAGCGTTTCAAAAGGGCCCAGGACATGAAGTGGCATATCAAGACGCACGAGAAGGAGAAGCCCAATGTGTGTGATGTGTGTGGCAAGGCCTTTGCCTTGAAGTATGTCCTCACACAGCATAGGCTCAGCCATGAAGGTGCGTAAATGAACTAGTTTTTAAGTGCAGAATGCCAATTTATGTGTTTTTTTTCTCTGCCAGTTTTGGAGAAGAACTTTCAATGCAACATTTGCGGCCGATCCTATCTATTTGAAAAGTCTCTGCGGCTGCATCAACGCGTCCACACGGGCAACACCTACTACAAATGCGATCTGTGCCAGGAACGCTTCGTAACGCACATTAAGTTGAAAAGTATTTGAGTGACCGTCTCGGATGGGACTCGGCACTTAAAGTATCCTTTCGTTTCAGCTCATATGCAGAAGACGCATGCACATGCCTCTGAGACGCCTTCACCGGACTCCCTGGATGATTTGATAAACATTGTGATTTCTTAACCAAGTGGAACAGAAAAAGAAAGCTAAAGCTGTTGTAGCCAAGCACAAACAGAAAGAGCGTAGCTCTTACTAACTACTACTAAACTGACTAACTACCAAAACCAAGCTACTAAAAACCATACCCTCCATTCAACCTTATCATTAGACCAAATGCTGACACAGGACAAAGCTTTATACTCTCTCAAATGATAAACTCTTCTGCTATACCATACCATACGATACAAGACCATAAAGTACCATAAGCCCATGTAACCATATGCACAAATTCAGCTGGATAAGTTCCAGAACCAAATCTCAGTTCCCGAGGGCTGTCTCTCATGATATATATGTACTTATCTCTCACACCACTTGAAGCACACGACCATTGACGACCATTTAGCGATAAGCAATACTTAAAGAGAACTTTAAGCTTCACGGCAACCAAACACTTAATGCTCAATGCATTTGCATTTATTTCAAGAAAAAGAAGAAAAAACCAAATAATATTTACAATATCTACCGAAAAAGTATGTCATATTTAAAATATCAATGTACTCTGAATTTTACTATGTGTAGTTCCATATATATTTACCAAATTAGTGGTCTATAAAAACATAAATTTTAAAATATATAGTCGTTTTTTATTTGAATTTGGCGCCAATCGGCGACCGCACGGCAGAGTCGCTGTTCAAAATTACATCGACAATGTCGATTCGACATGTAGTTGCTCTACAGCAAATGTGTAGTTACCGTGTAGTTATCAAGTATACAATTTATTAAGTGGAAATTTGTGTTGACCTTTATTGCTTAATCCATATTTTATAAGCAATCCAATATATAGGAGTACTTAAAATAAGTCAATCTTGTACAAAATTGATTAAGTTATTGGATAAAACTATATATTCAGTGCTGAAGGTCCTAGCTGGCTAGTAATATTATGCTGTATATCAAAATTGAGGAATATAATTTTCGATCAGTAAAATAACACGTTAGCCCATTGTCGACCACGGGATATTCCCACGAAAAATACGGAACTTGAAATTTTTAGCGTGCTAATAGGGATCATATTAATTTCAAATAAGGATAAAAGATATAATCTACAATACGAATTTACAAACATATTATTTTTCTCAAGTTCTTCGCCCGTTTAAATATGGTTTTTTAATGGTGACTTAAGTGGGTTAAGTATTTGACACAAACACGTCAGTGTTTAGTTTCTAATATTTATAGGCGAAAAGTCCATCAGATCAGATCCGGAAAATCGGTCGCTAGTCAGAAAATAATGCGGCGACGATGACCAATGGAGACCGAAAGCGATTTGCATAACGATTAAATAACAGAACAAACACACCCCACCCACCCCTGTGTTTCCAGCGGGCAAAGAGCACGAGAAAAGAGTCTGGGTTCCAAAAGTTGACCAAAAACGGACACAAAATCTATAAACGCCGCACAACAACAACGCGGTCATTGGCAGAGAGGGGAGGGGCAGGTGCAACGGTATAGATTAGCCCAGACATCTGCCACGCTAGGCACATCTGACGTGCGTGTCGATTCGGCCATCAACTTGAAATCACGCCCACATAAACCGCAAACACCCACCTGAAAGAGAGTACACGTAGCCATGGCTTTGCCCTTAAGCGACCTGCTTATGCTGGGCAGCGGTGAGAAGAGGTTGGCCGCCTGTGTGGTGCTGCTGCTGCTGGAGCTCTTCCTGGAAGGTGTGTATCAGATTTGTGTGTGTTTTGTCAACAACTAGTTAGATCCACGTCATTGTTCTATGCAGGCGCCGAGGCAGTGCCAAACCAGGCCGATGTCGACAACCATCTGGAGTTGGGCAAAGAGTTATTGGCCCGCGGACAGCTGTCGGATGCCCTGACGCACTACCATGCGGCTGTCGGTGGGTGAACGCTAACGATATTCCTTGTCCTTTCGAGCGTATTTAATTTTGGAGAATCTTTGCAGAGGGCGATGCCAACAATTATCTGACGCTGTTCAAGCGGGGCACCGTCTATCTGGCCCTGGGCAAGACACGCTTTGCCATCCAGGACTTTAGTCGCGTGCTCGAACTGAAGCCAGACTTCACGGCGGCCCGCGCCCAACGTGGTCTGGTGCACATGAAGAGCGGCGAATACGAGCAGGCGCTGTCGGACTTTAGTCAGGTTCTGCGGGAGGAGCCCAACAATGGTGTGGTCTTTGAACAGTACTCGCGTCTGGAGCCGGCCAAGGAGCAGTGGCATAATGTGGAGCAACAGATTGCCCATGGCGACTATCACAATGCCATTAACCTGATTACACAGCTGCTGGAGCTGTCGCCGTGGTCGGTGCCGTTCCGGCAGACACGCTCGGATCTCTACATCAAGGTAAACGATGCCATCGCTGCCATTTCGGACCTCAGGCAGGTAAATCGCCTGACCCAGGACAGCACGGAGGGGCACTACAACATTGCCAAGCTGCTGTACACGATCGGACATGCCCCCAATGCCCTGAAGGAGATACGCGAGTGTCTGAAATTCGATCCAGAGCACAAGCTCTGCTTCCCCTTCTACAAGAAGCTGCGAAAGGTGGAGAAGCAGCTGTCGAATGCCGAGCAGGCAAGGGAGGAGAAACAATTCTCCGACTGCATAGTCTCTGGCGAGGCGGTGCTTAAGCACGAGCCCGAGGAGACGATGATACGCTACGAGGCGCACAAGATTCTCTGCAATTGCTACACTGGCGACGAAGAGTTTGGCAAGGCGCTGACGCAGTGCAAGGAAGCGCTGGATATCATGAAGGATGCCCAAGTGTACTGTGATCGTGCCGATGCTCTGATCGGCACCGAAATGTATGACGATGCCATACACTCCTTCCAGGCAGCCCTCGACCTGGACGAGAACAGCCTGCGAGCCAAGGAGGGTATACAGAAGGCCAAGAAGCTACAGAAGCAGGCCGAACGCAGGGACTACTATAAGATACTGGGCGTTAAGCGCACGGCCAACAAGCAGGAGATTGTGAAGGCGTACCGCAAGGCGGCCCAGAAATGGCATCCAGATAACTTCAGGGACGAGGAGAAGAAGGTGGCCGAAAAGAAATTCATCGATATTGCAGCGGCCAAGGAGGTACTTACAGATCCCGAGAAGCGGCGTCAGTTTGACGATGGCGAGGATCCCCTGGACCCCGAGGCGAACCAGCGCGGTGGTGGCCAGCATCCGTTTGCCCACTTCCAGCACGGGTCGCCCTTCCAGTTCAAGTTCCACTTCAATTAGTCAGCCAGCGTCAGCGCCACTTAGCCAGCCAGCCATTTGTGTCATTTGTTGAGAGCGATTCGTCTCTATGTGATGTCCTTGCATCGCCGCCCGACCCACAAGCGCTCCCTAGCAGATCAGATCAGATCCTTCTGTCATCCCAGATCCTTACGATTTTACACAAAACTTGTTTTCCACTCTTCAATAGCGTGTAAATAGTAGATTAAAGATCCCCAATAAAATCCCCCTGCTCCGATAAAAGCTCTTAAAACTGAAAGAAACACACAAAACAAAAACAAAATGCAAAACACTGAACATTTACATTTAATTAGTTTATTTAATACAAATAATTATAATGTAGTACATTTTTCTAATTATGTATAAAGTGAAAATCTTAAGCAACACAAGAAATAAAAGACTTGGCGATTGAACTCTATCTAGCCCGTATCCTGTGTATCCTGCTGTACTTGGGGGAATTCTTTAAGTGCACACAAGTTTTTATTCCTCATCCGATCGGAGCCTGTTCCCTTTTTAACATTTTAATGCAAGTCTTTTTTGTTTTAATTAATATACGGAGTCCAAAATGGAGTCCAAAATATACGGAGTCAAACAGCGGGAGTCAGGGCCACGTACAACATGGTGGCCACCATCACAGTCACACACAGGAGGAAGTAGAACTTGAGATGATATTGACGATCCAGAGAGCGGAACAGCTCACGGAACTGTACCATGGGCGGCGACACTTGTCCTTGCCTTTGCCTGGCTGGCAGTGGCGGACGTGCCAGTGGCGATGAGCGTGTCTGCGATAGGTGGCTACTTCGTAGCTGTGGCTCCTCTTCTGCCTCCGATTCGCTGTCGGTTTCAATGGGCCGAGCGTTGTTGTCCGGTTGATCGTAGAACTGGTTCAGTGTCGGATAGAGCGTGTTCATGGGTGCGTTCATCGGTTGGAGTGGCTGCCTTAAGCCACCAGTTGGTCCACTCTGGCGCGGCTGAGATGGAGCCGCCGCTGCGCCAAAAGGCTTGGCAGAGCCGCTGAATGTGTTCCGTGGGGCACGAATAGGCTGCGGCTGGCTGTAACCAGCATCCTCCTGATAGCTGGTCGAGTTCAGCTGCGTCTGTACGTTCTGCGTCCTGGAGAGAGCCGCCATATCTAAGTTCATAGGGCGTCTAGAGGGTGTTACGATGCGCGGCACGTAGCTGGGCAGCGTGTTCAGGGGCGAACGCTCATAGTTGTGGCTTTTGGGTATGTACTCCTCGTGCCGTTCATAGTGCGGCTGCTCCACCTCACGTGTGTAGGATGTGGTCAGCACTCCAGACTTGGTCAACGACACAGACCGGCGTGGATCCTCGCGATCGGGAGACGTTTGCTGCAGATTCGAGTACCGTGCGACTGGCGAATCCACCACATAATAGTCATCGTCCTCCGACTGGGAGCCCACATCCGAGACGGTGGTTGTGGTCTGTACAGAGCGTCCCGAGTCGGATGTATTGTCCAGGCCATAGGCAACCGTGCGACGACTACGCTCATTCTGCTTGTTGATGCTGTTGTTGTTGTTGTTGCTGATGCTGCTGCTGGCAATGCGACTTGGGCTTTTACCTGCTGTGCGTCTCACATTCTCCGCTGCGGGCGTCACCTTGCTGCCGTGTATGGTTTCACGCCTAGGAGTAGCTTGCTGCTTTGTTGCCGAGGCAGCAGTTTTGCCCTGAACAGTTTTGCGCTTGTTCAGAGGCGAGCCTAAAATGGTGGCGCGCAGTCGACGAATTATGACAGCGCGTGTGGTATCAGTCACCGGGACGCCGGGCAGGCCATGTTCCAGGCACTTGGCCAGCAGCTCCTTGTTGGAGATTGTCTCCAGGTACGAGAGGTCTGACATATTTCCAGAACTTGTGAAACGCAAAACAAAAATAGCAATGTCGTCACCAGTGTGACCTTTGTCGAGTAAATATACCATCCGGTCAAAAAATAAATACCATGAAATTCAGCTTCGATAAATACCATTTAAATACCATTCCATAGACTTAACCCACTTAACACCCCTATATTTAAAAAGTAGAGCACCCTTTGTTAAGCCGCGGAAAATAATACTGTTTGTAAAGGCTTCTTGTAGCTCCATCCTCCTCTTTATTTCGTGGAAATATTAACGTTCTATTTATTCCATATTTTTGATATTCAGTCCTCTCAGCCCTAAGCAAATAATTTCTTCTATGCGTATGGACTTTTGTACATCGTATTTCCCGTTAGGAACATGCGGCACACACCACGAAAAGGAGGAAGAAGTCTTCACGAAAGCGCTCTCTTCACCTCGAAACAGAGAGTAAATTTTCAAAAACCACCACGATTTGAGAGAGCGAACCATTTCGGTATTTTTTTGTGCGCTAAATGAAGTTTGGTGATCATTTTTAAAAGTACTTTAATATACCTTTAAAAATAGATTCGATCTTGATTAAATATACTTTTATAAGCCGATATACCGTAAATATACCATTAACTCAATTTCTACCTCAAAATATCCAGAAAAGTATAATAATATTCATAATAGTATATATAATATACGCCAAGCGGTCACAGTACAGTGTTCAAGTGTGGCTGTATTGCAGCTTATAGCAGAAATACCAAAGAGCGCCATACCTAATATGGTTATACCATGCGGTTAAGTGCATGCCGATAGCCTATCGCACCAAGATACCGATACTGAAATATGTATCGATATATAGTATATACATCCCTAATTCTGCATGTGGAGTAAACAAACAAAACAATCGAAATTTTCAAACGAAAAGGTTGTGTGTCGCGGCGCGTTGTCTCGATTTTCAGTTTTCTCGACGCGCAACAGGTGTTTAATTACAAACAACACGCTCAAACATAAATTGATATAAACGCCGCGTGCAAAGTGCTGTTACAAGCCAAAGAAAACTAAGCAGAAGATTATAAATAAAGCAGCGAGGGCAAACGCCACAAAACGGCAAGCGCATTTGAAAAGCCAACACCTGTTTGCCTGCATTCCTGTGCGCCTCTACGAGTCTCCCCTACTGCGCTTGCGTGTGGTGTGTGTTTTGTTCGGGAATGGTTTTTTGTTTTGTTAAATTGTGCGCTTAAGATTTTCGTTTAAATTGAAACCTTAAACAATTTGCTGGATTCGATGCAACATTGCAACATTTTCCAAAGTTTCCCCCAAAAACTCGACTCGACTCTCCTCGCGTCTGCGTAAAAGAAACAACAAAAGCGATGGCAACAGCAACAGCATAAACATAAGCCCCCAAAAACCGGTTAATACGAATACAGCCATCAAGAAGCAGTCCAAGAAAACGGCGCCCCCCATAAAAGAGCAAGCAATACAATAACAATAAAACCAGAAGAAAGAGGAAATCCATCGATTTTGGCCGCCCAAGGAATTCCATTTAGTAATTGTGTTATTCTTTGTTTTCGCGTGTGACACAGTGGATACACAGCAAGCAAGCAGCCTTATCGCTACGATCGAATCGAAAGTGATCGGAGGAATAATTGTCGCAACTCTTTCGCGTGGCCTTTTTTAAGGCCCTTTCTTATCGCGAGCAAAACATCAGGTGGGTTATAATTTTAAACACATTACCCCCAGAACTTCGATTATAGCCTATTGTTGTGGTTTAAATTTATTTGGGGCACGTGAGGCAGTCCATAATGATAAGGCCTTTGGCCAATAAACTAACGCAATTATAGGAGTATTCAGAACATTTTTGGAAGGGGTCATTCCCTAGAGTTTGGTCATTGCAAGTCCAAAAACAATGATAAGGCTATTTTACCAAAAGATTAACTAAATTTGTAAAGTGTGTAGACCATATTTGTGGCCCCATTTTTCTAGTAGTGCCGCCTATGGTAGTTCACAGTTTATAAATAGAACATCTTGAGTTTGGCTCGTGCTACGATAAGACGGAAGACTGAAAGATTACCTTAATCCCTAAACTACAAGTAGTAGACCCACCATATTTGGTGGCAGCCCAGTTCATTGACACAACCTTTAGGCAAAACATTGTTTTGAACCTCAAACTCAACTTTCACTGAATGCGGCGGGGCACACGACGGCACTCCAAAAAGCGGCATAAATCAACAAGCAAAGGCAAAAAATACATAAAAAAAAACAACAACAACAACAAAAATGTTGTAAATGCCAAAATTGAAATGCAGCTTCAAGTTAATAAAATCAAATTTGTTGCTCAGGTTGTTGGTGGTGGCTTGTTTGCTTTTGCTTGTGTTTTATCTTATGTTACTATTTATATAATCCATGGTTAATTTTCCACGAGCATCATTAAACAACAAATTGAGGCACACGAGAAGATGATTATGAGATAATCAGTAAAATTGCACAAGACCCAATGGAGTCATCAGAGGTGAGTGTGGATCTGATCAGAGTGGATTGTGTGGACTGTCGAGTGGATTGTGGAGTGTGGACTGATGTCGAGAAAGAGACTAAATTGGAATAGGATAATACATATTAAAAAATGATTCAAATTAAATGAATTTCTCATTTATTTCTCTCAATTAAATGATTTATCTATGGTACAATTGTATAGCGACTGGAGCGGAATAGATCTTTGAAATGGCTTCCCACCTATTCCTGCACATTTTCCAATGCAACTCGTACTCGATCTAACGAATGAATGACTCACACTCCCTCTTGAGTGCATTTATTCAGATTCAGAGACCAGACCTCTATCTCGCGTCTAGTTATTGTATCTCCTCCCCACTCTCCTCACGGAACACAAGACAAAATTCCAATTCCATGAAAAACAAAATGCCAAATATTCCCACCAAAAATATGCACAAATCCAGCAACAACAACAAGTTTATAAAAATAACAACAACAACCAAACTATGCACATGGAAAAAAAACAACGTTATATAAAAAACACGTTCAAAACCCAAACCGCATTTGCCTTTAGAGACAGAGAGAGCTAGAGAGAGAGAGAGAGAGAGAGAGACGGCGGTGTAAGCGAGATAGCCAGATCAAGTAGGTTAGATGGAAGAGAGAGGGAAGGAGGAGGGGTGTGTGTATATGTTTGGTAGCGACTGTATGTAGCTGTGTGTGTGTGCGCTCACTTTGAGCCACGCTTCAATTGCAAATGCGCCCCAAGTAAGCCAAGTTAACAGAAAAACAAAAACAAGATCTGAATGGGTTTGGTTTCTGAAGCAAAACTATGGATACTCTTGACCGAAAGATGAGTTCTTTGTTTGGTTGAAATCTGGCCAGAAATATAGAGGAATATAGTTTACATTTATCATCGTAAAAATTAGCGCGGAGGCCTTTAGCTGGATAATAATAATAATATCCAATCGGTAAGAACTGAACTCTAGATTTTTTTAATTTTCGAGTTGTACAGTCCTAGAGTCCTACTCTCAATTTATGTGGTATGATAATATTTAAAGTATGCTCTGCTACCAGTTGAATCTTCTTTCTTTCTTCGCGTTTTTCTGCACTGCAATCTTTTCAATAGAATGATAATACTCCACCGTATAAAAAGGGTATAACACTCGTAAAAAGCATTGACGCAGATACGCGCTGTTTTACCAGTTGCTGTGATGTTGTTGTAATTGTAAATTCTACAGGTTTCTCGATGGACATATATACATACCATATCGTATACATTTGTATATGTATGTGGATGTGTGGCACGTATGTTTGTTGGTCTGGTTTGCCTGTTTGTACGAGTATCTATGCATGTGTTGTAGCTGTTTGTAGCTGTTGTTGCCTTAATGGTGCACATACTCGTACAAACAACAACAAAAACAACAAAGATCGCTCTGCAATTTTACGCCAAAGCTAAAAAAAGTCGACCGATCGAGCCGCAATCGAAACGATCAACAGAGTGAAGTGAAGGCAAAAGGATAGGGGGGAATGGGAGATTGGGGATTACGATGGGGAGGAAACAGAGCTCCTCTAGAGCTAGAGTGGAGCAGGAGAAGGAGGAGAAGGAGTAGTGGGGTGACAAGGAGAGGCCAATTCAATTCGTAGGCCAGTTATCAAGTAAAATGGGATCTACAATTAATGCTGAATTGTCAAAGAATCTTTTGAACACACGTTGTAGGATTAAATCCAACTTAAAATATATTAGAGCTTGGAATATCCTGAATCAATATACACGGATTGAACCATAATTTCCATTCAAATAAATATTGGGGAATGACAAACAAACAGTATCTATCCACTCTACAAAAATCACTTCCACTGTGCAACAACAGTACGAGGCAGCCACAAAACGTTGCAATATGCCGCCGAGTGGCCCGAGACTGTCTCCCAACTGCTTGGCCAACTTGGCGTTCATTTCAGCTTGGCTTTTTCGTACTCGCATTCGTATTCGTAATTGTTTCATGAAAAACTGGCCAACACTCCCCCCACTCCACTCTACTCCATTCCAGTGGCTACTGCCTTCTCTTTCCAACTCCAAACAGGTGCGCAATATTTTGTTGCTGTATTTTTTGTTTTTCTGTTTTTTTTTTTTGGCGACTTCGACTTGGATTTTGGGGCCAACAGTTTTTCAATTTTAATTATGGTTTATGTGTCGCCTTACGAACACGAAAACGGCATTCGATCGGTGATCGGCATATACTTATCCAATAAGCGGTACGAGTATACATACATATATGTTTATGTACAATCCATATGAATATATAGCCCAATGCCTTCAATGGACTTCAAGCGGTACAAGGTTGCTGCTGCTGCTGCTGCTCGGAGGAGGAGAGTGACATGAACCGGAGGAGACAGAGACACGCCACGGCGAGGCGACATTGAGGTTACCTGGTAATTGTGAATGAATGCCTGGCTATGACTGCCTTCTGGGCGGATCGGATCGGATCGATCGTTGCAGTTGGCAGACTCAGAAAGCCCCAGCCAGAGAGAGTGCTGCTGCTTCGCTAAAATGGCTAAAAGTTATTGGAGTGGAAACCAAACCCCTCC